CCTTTTTAAGGCATTAGACTTTAAGGCTCATTATTATCCAAATAATGATAGTTAGGATCAAAATTTAGGATAATTTATGGTAACCATTGATCATGGTATGGGTCTCATATGGACTCACATGATCAATGGTTAAAAAATTTGTCCTGAAATTTTGTCATAAAATGTAGTTACAATCATCCTTATTCTTATCATCCTTAGTATTCTTGTACCTAATGGTACGAGATTCTAGGAAATGCATTCAAGTTTGTGTATCTAATTCAAGGTATAATTTTATGGCTTGTACCATACTTCAAGTGGTGGCTTCTGATGGGTTTTCTGGAATACATGTTTTATTGTGTACTTAGAATCACCTCATTAATTGCAAGAGGATCATAACCTAAATTAAGAGGCATTTCCATAAGAGAACTGAATTAGTTTATGGAATTACATTATCTTGAAGCAAAATAGAACCAAAGTTGGATAAAATTAAGAAAATGATAATCAATTACTTGTTGATGGAAAAAAAAACACAACTTAAGCAAAGGAAGCCACCCAAGGAATATCAGCTAATTCTACCAAACCATTCTTGGACACTCTTATCAATGACAATTGCATTTTATCCTTATTTCTCATGAGAAATTAGGAACTCATAAATTTTACATGTCAGTCAAAATACAATCTAGCTACCGCATCCAATCCAATTATGTTCAATGTTAAGTTAGAATGAAATACCAACTTTTAAATTTTTCCTTCTCTATGAAAGGATAATATTTTCTTAGTAATGAAAACTACAAATTGGTAATGCGAACATCAAGGAATTTCAACTCTATAAAGGCAATCTTGAACCCCCAAAAAAAGACAAAAAGAAAAAATTGTCTTGTATGAAAATTTATCTTCAAAGCATCATGCAGCATTAATCTAAAATCATTTTGGTTGAAGCATCAAACATTTGCAAGTGAAGTAGCGGCAAGAGAAATAATAGAATTATAGTTATTTACTCCTTTAACAAATTAACCCAACATGTGAGTCATTATTACACTACCCTAAAGACAAGAAACTATTAAAAAGAACTTTAAAAAGACCGAGGTTCTAATAAGTCATTCATTCTCCCTTTTAATCTACATGTCATTTCACAAAAATTAGTTAAGAAGAGGTACTTGCAATTCTTAATATTATTAAAACTGAGCGAAGAATAACAGGAATCGCCCATATTGATCTAGTACCTCCTCAATGTTCCATCAAAATTTGCAATTCCCTGATAGTCACCAAAACATGTAAGTACCATGATCAATGTGTCAACGTTGCAAGAATTGAAAGGAAAGTTAAAACCTTTTGCCATTAAAGAAGAAAAGAAAAGCTAAATAGAGCAAAAAAAAAAAAAAAGTAGTAGATTTGTCTAGAAATAGAACATATCTATTAATTTATCTGCGAAAAAATTAGAAAAATGGATACTTAGAAAACACTTCCCTGCAAAAGAAGAGAGATCAGCAGGGATATGCCAAGGCAAGAAAACCGGAAAAAAAAAGAAGAAGAAGAAGGTAGCAATAATGATAGAAGCACAAAGGCTATAAAGTACAGAGAGCAGAAAGTTACCTCTAGACTTATTTTGTTCTGTTGGTATGTTGGTAAGAAACACTGCTTAATCTCCGACAAGAAGCAAAAGCATATTACAAAAGTAACAATCAAATAAAACTTCAAGTGGAACAAAAATTAAGCATGAAAAAGAATGAATGAATGAAATAGTGGAGCACGAAAATTTTCAAGACTTACTCTTGCACGTTCCAACAACATTTGATTTTGGTTGTGTCATTGTTCTTGGAGAAAATACAAAAACTGATAATCGATCCTTCAAAGATTATCCTTTACAGCTCACTTGGAATCCCAAACCAAATCTATTTTCATAAATCTGTTTTGATAAGAAGGAAGGGAGTCACACACACCCCTTTTGACATCGAAGGATTCCTCTTCTAAGACGACAAACCGCGAGTCCAATGAACTGATTGTAGAACAGGAATTCAGAATCCACCAAGTTTAGAATTTTTCCAGCAATGGAATTGCTATTAGAAAAACAAAAAAAAAAAGAAAAAAAAAAAGGAAAGAAAAACAATGGGAAGAGATGGAACTCAGAAGTTGAGGTAAAAATAAATGAATAAATAAATACCTGAAATGGAGCGGGAGGAAGATGTGAGGGATGGAAGTGGAACCAACAACCGACCTCAGAATTTGGTGGTGATGAGCAATTTATTGGAGAAGGAAGGGGAGGGATTAATGAAGTCATATAACGGCTGGACTTATAGCCCAATTTTCTTGGGCTTAAGAATGGCTGTAATTGGGTATTTTTCAGCCACTTTAGTGGTCTCAAAATTTTGATTTGCATGCAGATAGGTTTTGTAGTTGATGAGTCGGTCAATGATGGGCAAAAGGGAAAGAAGAAAACACGGAAATGAGAGTTAAGGTATCCAGAGGAAACTTCCAATGCAACGTGACCTTGTGGTTCATGACTCAAGTAAGTCAATTCAATATCTTATTGGAGAAAGTTTATGGTTTTTATTTTGTTTTTTTTTTTTTTCCACAGCAGGATAAAGTCTAAATATTTGGCAAACATTCAGATTACCCCCCATCAACTTTTTGTGCAGTGCAGGTTAACCCCTCAACTGATTTCATACGCAAATTAACCCTCAAACTTATCGTCAATGACAAAAAGCCCCTGACGCTATCAATCCGTTAAATTCCCAGCAAAAGTTAGTTGGTTGGCATTTTCGCAGACCTCAGTGATGACTTCGCATTTGTTTAAGTGATAATATATTTTCTAATCAAGTAATTAATATTATACATATACTTAGGTAACATTTTTATTAAAATGATGATATTTTTAATTTTAATCAATAATAATGTATTTTACTAAAATAATTCTATTAAATTATTTCTTAAATTTAATTAAAGTATTTAACTAATAAAATTTTTTTAATACATATATTGAAGATGTATT